TCAAATATAATATATTGTTTATTAAATAATTTAAATAATTTGATTAAATTAGGTTAGATTAGGTCAGGTCAGGTCAGATCGGATCAGGTCAAATAAAAATTTAAATCAGGTCGAATTTTTGTTTAACCTGACCTGATCCTCTCAGTTCAGGTAACTTGATTGACCCGACCTGAACTGACCTGTTCGGAGCTCTATTCCTAGCATAACGATCAATTATTTCTGATTGGAGGTGATCACATTATTACACATGAAATTTGCATCTGAAAATCATATTACTCATTTGCATTACATAAAAATCCAAGCACATTATTGAGAAATCATTAATGGTTAAGAAATCACGAATAAAAAAAGGAATATAGAGCCAAAGGAAGTAAGTATTTGCTATTGTGGTGATTACTCTATTTGCTGAAAAAAGATAATCATTACTATACTGTCACCATTCTAGTTCTCACTTCTCTTTTACCTAAGGGAATGCATAAATACTTTTCATCAGTCCTATTCGTAACGTGCAAAATTATTGATTTTCTGAATTGGCTTGATTCAGAACAGACTCTAATGAGTGCCAAGCGAGAGCAGGTCTACAAACAATGTGTAAAATATCTAGATTCATTGAGTTAGAGCTAAGATCTACTACAATTCGCTCAAGATCATGCGAGAAAATTGAAGAAAGATCTATCTGTAAGTAATAATTTTCCTAATTTGCTTTTGCAAAGTTTGAGTAGATAATATGTTGTTAAAACTTTGTGTCAGTCCAAAGAAGTTGTGTCATTTTGGAACTTGATAATAGAATGTGAAAAATATCATGCTATTGAGGAATATGATTTTATGTTACTTTAACAAGTTAGAAAAAAATATATCTCGCTAATATTACTAGAGTGCAACAAGAAAATGATGAAGGAATCGATAAAAGACTGGGCATACGAGAGAAGTTTTATTATTTTATTATTTACAGGAATTCCTTGATACAAATTTGATTGAATCTTTTAGAAAATATCAAGAAAAATACCAAAAACTTGCAAGATCTTAATGTAAATTTAGCATCGTTTAAAAATGATCACATTTTGCCTTTACATATTTTATTAACTTGCTAATTGCTAATTTAGCCCTACGTATTGGAGAGTACTAGATCTAACAAAAGAGAGTCTAAAAAATTCTGGAATACAGAATGAAGATATTGAAAAACTATCCTGTGATTTCTCCAATAAAATTGAATGGAACATTGGGGTCATTATTTCTATTGAAGTTTAAAAATATTTCGACAATGATTGCGAAAATATTGATAAAAATGAGGCGGTTAAAAGGCTGGAAATTAATATTTAATATATGTATATAAATTAAGTATATCCTATAGACTTCCTTTTTTATCTAATGGTGTTTATATTATACTATTATTTAATCATTTAGGAAAGACAAGATGTCGAAACTCTAAAAGGCATATTCAAAGAAAGAGTTAAAGATGTGGACTACAGTTCTAATAATTTCTAGCGTTTTTACATCAAAAAGTATTGAATCCGCTTGGTAAGTCAATAGTCTATAAAAGATTTCAAATAATGATATAGTGATTCCATTTACTTTTATGAACAATTTTTCAAATATTAGGGGTGAAATACAAGCTATTCCAATAAGCAAGACACGAAATGAAACAAAGGATCCTTTTTTGAAAACAAAAATTGGACATAAAGTCGACATGAAAGGCATTTTAGTCAAAACGCCAAATAAATTCAAAATAATTTATGATAAAGTTTCTGGAGGGCTAGGTCCCTTCGGATTACCTGCCTCTTGCAAGAAGAAGCAGTACGTTGATAAAGTGAAACTAATGATAATATTACAAGATAGTCTCAATCAATTTTTCATAAACAAATGACATGTGAATAATGAATATCGTAAGAAACTAACTGTTTATAGATGGCTACAAATCGGTATGTGCAGAAATTAGTGAGTTTCATGCTTAAGAGATTATACTGATATTTAATTGACAGGTACTGAATTAAAGATATATGCTATGGATTGGATTAGTTTTGGGATTTATAGATTCAGCAAACTAGATAAATGTTCTTTGCCTATTGACAATGATGATTCAAAAATATTGGAAGATGCATATTGTATCTTATACTTACTAGAGGTAAGTTGCTTTATTATACTATAATTATTTAAAATATTTTTAATCTGTATAATTATTGTAGTCAAAATTACTCGAATCAGAAAAAACTATAAAAGAGATAATACAAAACAATACGAAAAACAAAAGAAGATACATTAAGTCAGAGAATAGTCTTTATTTAAACAAGAATTGAATTCCATAATAGTTTTATATTCATGACGATATGCTTTGTTTTTGCCTATTTTTTAATTTTTTATAATTGCTAATAAAAAAATATTATATACTGCATAAACATACCTATTAAATAAAGTTTGCTGTATTAAAAATTAGAAAAATAATGATATGCAATCCACTATGCAAAGATCATTATGAAAAATAATGCATATATGTAACAATCATAGAGCATTTAAAGTTTCAAGTTTATTCAATGAGACCTAATTTTCAAAGATGTTCTGGAATAACTATATACAGGTCTTCATAATACCAAACATACCTTAAGACAATCTGATTCTCTTCGCATAATTCTTTCTTGAGTTGATCCTGTTCTTGCTGTTTAATGAAAGAATTCTATATATATATTCTCCTTATACTTGCCAATCCATATTGTGAGTAGTAAATGTCAAGTTCTAATCCAGTTGAGTGATCTAAAGTTTTAAGAAATCAGGTCAAGGTATCTTAGATGGTAGTCTAAGATATTTTGACATAATCTTTCGACACTTTTGCAATCAATATAAGAATCTATCAAGCATTTCCCAGCTCGACTACATGCATTATCTTTAGCTACTAAAATATCAAGTTTAATATTTTCTGTTATTTTTATTAAGAGTGTAAGCGGAGGATAGGTTCCCACCGGTATTGCTTACAGCGGAGTGGATAATGAAGAATTCATTAAAATCAATCAATTTTAATAATAATAAGATGATGATACAAGAAATAAGAGAGAAACTGATCATTAACATGATCAGAAGATTCCTAAGCTTTGAGTCCAAACTATTTGTAAGAAAATTTTAAAAAAATAATTACTTTTTTACACTATTTAGGTAACTGTAATTCAAGTGATAAATTTAGATTTAAATCTTTGTTCACTTTTTTCTTTTTAAAAAAAAAATAAGTCAGGTATACATTGCTATAAGCAGAGCTTCATCATGGTAAAGTTAGATATCCATTTTTTCAATAAAAATCAGATAACAGAATACAAAAGATTAAACGTCATATCACAAAACTGCTTAAAGCCCGATGCATTAACTAACATTTAAACTAAAATAAACTAAGAAGATCATCATCAAATCAAAACTAAAAAAACCCAACATCCAATTATTTTAGAAATAAACTTGTAAAACATAACGCAAGCTCCCATAGCTTCTGAAATTATATCGCTATTGGGTTATAAATAATTGCTCTTCACTATTTTTAAAAAGTTGGGCAAAATTAATGAGATTTTATTTCTTTATTACGATAATGTTTATTTGTTTCATTACTAATTTATTCTTATTAAATCGAATGATTTATTTCAGAATTGGATTAAATATGTTTAATGATGAAAAGATGAGGAAAATTGTTAGAGTTTAGCTTAATTAAGTTATTAATGTAAAATAATTTTTAAAATAATATAATTTTTATAATCTCGGTTACATTTTATTGTAATAATAAATTTTAATATTCATTATCTGTTACTAATGCCACTCTCGATCAATATTTTTATTGGAATAGAATTTTAGTATAAAAAGCTGAACTATTGAATAATAAAGTTTTTTACACATTCTATTTGACTCATTTTTGTATGTGAACGGAAGCAACTACATTTACTCCTTAATCAATAAAATATAATTAAATAATCATTGTCGTTTACGTGGCATCAATTCAGTGTACTTATAGATATGACAATAATATAAAAGAAAGTAAAAGATTAGCATTCTTAAACACACTAAATTAGATATCCAACTAATCATCTCTATCATCAAGTTCAAGAAATCTAATGTTAAAGATCGCGAAGCTCATGACTGAATAACCCATGCATATTGTTCTTTCTAGGATGAGAATCCATTGAACTTACAACAATACAGAGCTACTGGAAAAATCCTGATCATTATTAACGGAGAAAAACTATTATTACGATGTCAAAATCTAACAGATACATATTTTTTTTTTTGAAAGATGATAATGATAATGATTGATACTTTCCACGTGTTATATTCTCATCTTTGTTCACATCATTATTATAATCATCATCAGAATATCTTTAATGTATATTTATTGGGTATCATATTATAGAGCGTTCGAAAAATATCAATCCTCAACGTAATTTTTTTCAATGTAGCAAGAAATAAATAAATAATTTTTAATACAATAATAATATTTTAAATTTAAGGAGCGATGCAATTTTCACTATCTGGGATCATCTTATTAAATACTACGCGTCGCTAGCTGAAGATTTTTCGCAAAATCTTTTTTTTTTAAAAATTACCCTCACGTTATATTTAGTCCAACAATGATTCTTATTCTTAAACATGTTGCAAGTAATACAAGAAAAAGCGAATAGATTTTAATAGATAATGAGAAATTGTTTGAACTTTTATTGATAAAAAGACTTTTGGTCTTACAAATAAAAATAACTAATTAAATATGAAGTTATTAAACAAGTTTCTTTTTCAAATATTATTGGAGGGTCCATTAAATAAATATCACATCGTATCTTCGTTGCAATCATAGAATTAATCTTTTGCAGATCCCTTTATCTGCAAGTGATGAACGTTTTTACTAAAAAAAAAAATAAAAAAAATAGTAAACCGAATAGATAAACTTAATAAATATTTTGGCATTGCTATAACCACCCAAAGGTTGATTTGTCTCCGCAAGGAAAAATAGCAAGCTATAACCAACCCAAGTTTAATTTGTCTTCGCAAGGGAAAATAGAAGAGGTCTTTCAATATAATAAGAGCGTTTATTAGTCACGAACGATCCTCACGTATGCGTCATTAACTCTCCAAACTAATGAAAGCATGTAAAAGCCATGAATCTGAAAGGAGGCTTCGGTAAAGGGACGGTTTGACATCGTCATTAGATTGTAGAACGAGGAAATACTTACTTTAACATATAAAGGAAAAAGCCAACAAAATGGATAGGTGATAAAACTTTTTTTTTTATTTTATTATTTTATGTGAGAAACTAGTACCAGTGCTTATTAAACTTTTATATATTTTTTGATCACGTTGAATTTCTAAATTGGGGTCACGATTTTTAGCCCAAATTACGGCATTAAGTGATAGTCCCTATGACAAATAAGAAAATAGAAATGTGACATGGCGTGACAAATATTTTAGAAAGTCACATGATATAACTAGAGCGTAAAATAGGGTTCCTTAACCTGTACCCTGGGTGTAGGCCTTTATCCTAGACCCCCTTTTCTCAAAATATGATTGGTTTAAATCA